TTTCATGAGAAATTCATGAACATTGTGATGAATATCATTCGTCATTAGTTTCGGCAAATAAAATGATGCAACAATCGAACTTTCGATCAAACAGACCAACAATATGCTCTATTTGTATAACGATGATTCCTTACCAACTCATTAAAAATGCAAACAAATATGAGTCAGTCAAAAATCAGCAACACGTGGAATCATTGAACGAATCTTTGGGTCAACGTCAAACAAACGATGAGAATCAACGAAAAATATGCTAACACTGACAATACCATAACTTAGAAACAGTCATTAAATCGATGACGCAATATAAAATAGACATACAATAAACGAAGCAAAAACAATGACACCGGTACAGGAACCGTCAATATGAAACCATCCAACAACAGAATATCATCGCATTATTTACGCAACTTATTTTACAAATACGCATCACAATGTCATATAATATATTTATAAACACATATCTACCGTTTCAGTCACAGAGCTATAATCCATCACTATGTTCAACTGAAGTAATGAATGAATATTCAATGATAACGGTAACAGTTATCACGATACAAATAAGCAAATCAAAAGCGAAAGCAAAACGAAAAACAGTCTCATCAGAGTCATTCCGGGATGGGGTGCATAACCCGTAAATCACGAATGGTATTTTGCTGAGCCACTGGCATGACTATATAGAATATTGTCGTGAATAAGCCTATTCACGGCAATATTTTGGCAAAATTATCTGCACTGAAGAACAACGAATAACATCGTAAATTAAATTTGAAACATTTCACCGGGTGAAAAGAAGTTCACACAGAATTATATCGAAACAATAACGTAATTCCAAAGTAAAACTTCTGTCGTTTCGGACAAAATCAGTCAATCGAATGAAAACTAAAATATAACTGAAACTGAAAAAAAACACGAGAAAATGAAATGGAAGACTGCAAAAATTGAATCAGTTGGCAGTATGCAATATCTGAATGAAAAAAAAAANAAACAAGAATAATAACTCACTTAATGTAATCACAACCGAACCTATGATAAATCAATATCACCTACGTCATCTTTTAATGACAAATTTCGTCTAAATTCACGCCCAAAAGTCTCTCTTCTGTAAATGTGAATAGGGACATATTCAACTAAATACAAAAAACATCTTATATGTATGCATATTTGAGAATGAAGCAATAAAGGTGAACTGAAACGAAATAAATTAAAAACAAAACAAAACACAAAAATGTGAAACAGAAATAAGAGCAAAATCACAAAATAGCACCATCATTAGATGATTCAAATAGAATTAATTCAAATATATAAATAAACAATCATCCATCAGATCATTCAAAACAACAGCACATCTAATCTGCATATCATTCACACATCACATCTGTAGCACTCTCACTATCAACTGCTAAATCGGTCAATTATATCCGATTTAGCAGTTGATAGTGAGAGTGCTTTCATTTCTTCACTTCTGAAATGAAGTTATCACCTCACAAGTACAAAATGAGAGCGAACTCAAAATGGAAAACTTTTTCCTCATTTTGTGCGTAAAAATTGAAATGAATAAAATTTTCGCTTCACACAAAAGCCGAAACGCACACGTTTCCGCTTATGTGTGAAACGGCAAAAGCACCACAATTTATACGCACAAACAAATTTGAAATTCAATTTCCCACAATGTGTGGAAGTAACTTTGAAAAAGCTGATTGGTATATAGTCGATGTGTTTGATATCGTTAATATGAATTGAATCAAAACATACATGATTCGATGTGCAAAAAAGAAACAATTACGAAATATTATGATGTCGACGAGCAGAGTTACTGAACGTTGTTATCACTACTAATATTGTTATCGATATTTATATCACCATTCATATCGTCGTTCAAGTCACCCTCCACATCCTCACTATCACGTACTGCTATTACAGCGTTTGTTGGTAACGGATCGTCACGCATTTGCGATGCGAAAAATATCAGTGTACATATTAGCAGCACCATTGCTATGGTCTAAAATTTTTTCGTTTACTATTGATTTATTTTATCCAGTCACAGTGCGATATACTCATTTCTAACCAGATTCAAGGAAATAAACGAATCGATGTGACAATCATGTGAAGAAATAAATGTAACAATGAAGTAATAAAGGTAATAATAATAATCACAATAACAGTGAAATCAATCAAAACATAAAATCGTACCTGTCCAACTACACTGAATGCCAGAAATAAATCGGCAAGTAATTTATTCTGATACAACATACAGCTTCCCTGCTGAAAACGAATCAATGAGCATTTGTTTCATTAACTAATAATGGGTTAACTATCAAACGACGTTGAAAATAATAAGCAATTTATTGGTGAAAGAATAAATCAGAAAGAATCGACTGCAATTAAAACAGAGACAAATTACATGTCCAGAGCATGGATCCAAGTGCTGTCGAATGCAAGAAACATCGAACATCCAACCGAACAAAACTGGTGCCGGAATGGTGCCAATTACTCGAACTAATATCCACTGGATACCCAATGCAAATGATCGTTCCGCATAATCCACTGTTCTTAAATTCTACTATCACTATCATAAATCAATGACAATTCGAGTTCGATAACCAAGTAGCAATGATAACACTTCATAATGACAACTCATAAAATCAAAATAAAATATGATTTTTTGAGTGTCATCTATATCGTCTGAAGCCGAACACGGCTCAACTTCCAACCAATTCCGACAACAATCGTGCAAATAAAAAGACATAAAGAACACTTGAAACGTAAACACATAAACAGATGAATGTAAATAAATGAATAAAAATGAATGAGTACATAAGTAAACTTACCGCAGCACAACAGATATTAACGGCACTCCAACAGCAAATGCGAAAAAGCAAAAAGGTGCGAACATAATCAAAAATCCAAATAAGCCAGTACATTTGGATTCACAAAAACCCCTTTTCAAGGTCTTATAGCCGTATTTCGTATTCGTTGGTACGCATGAACAGTTATGATACATCTGAATGATTATAAAGCCATAATTACCGATATATTGTAACAACTGATATCATTACGAACTACGTAAGCGAACAATAATTACAGAAATCAGAATGAGTTATTAAGAGGATGAATTTGATTAGGTATACCTTTCTAAGTGGTTCGTATTTTTGTTGGCAACCAGCAAAACACGGTGAATAGAATGAGATTTGCTGTCCATTTTCCAATTCAGCACACATTGGATGATATTCACTTCCAACGCAATCGCAATGCTCATTACACTTGGATTGCAGCGAAGGAAGTAGATCGCTCTCATTTGCGTACTTCCCTAACGCCACTCTAAAGTTTCACGTTTTTATTATTGACAGAACTGATACGTTCCAAATTCAATCTCATTAGTTTGAAAACCACTTGCTTTCAAAAAGGAGAATTACTCGAAAAACGAAATGAAGTGAAACCAACATGTCAATCTCATAATGTGTTTCGATACCAGCCAACTGATCGTGATCACAGTATATCAAATACATCGGTGACAAAAGTAGTGAGAACATCAATAATGCGATACAAAATTTTAACGTTTTCACACAACTTAACCGAAATCTTTGCACCACAAACCCACTAAACATCGTACCCATTCCAGCCATTGGCACCATTATGCATCCTAAACACATCTTCGTTCAGTAACAACATTTCCGTACAATCGCTCATATAATTGCGTATCGAAAAAAATAAAATTGCGAGTAAATATTCCAAAAAATCATTGAATCAGACAGCGAGAAAGCAATTTCTCCGCAATCTGAACAACTATACCATGTAGAATGCACAACTGTATTTCAATATCATCAATGCCATAACTATTCCCAGAAATGATTCAATATAAAACTTACCAATAAGCATGTTCGCTTTACTCGGCGCAACGCTGAACTGTCTCTCCAGATATTTCGACATGAACGTTGATGCCCCAGTTATTACTAAACCTGAAATATAAGCACAAATGCAGTCATCAAGTTCGTTGTCTAATCGTAGTAATCGATGCAATTTCATAACATCACATACCTTATCTCATCACTCTTTTACGTAACGAACTTCATCATTCAATCTACTAAACTAGAGAAATAACAACAGAAATACAGCTATCAAAGAGTAATGAAACGTACCATCAACAGCCATGGAAAGCGTTATGAGCATATAACTGCCATTCGAAAGGATTCGATAAATAGCGATAGGAATATGCCGAACGTCTAACCAAATATGATACCAAATGGGACCTCGATTAGGTTGTAATGCTGGCATTGATTCACCGATTGTTATTGTTGGTACTGCTGCTTTTTCTGTAATTTTCATCGCCCAATATACACTCAAAATTTTCATTTTAGCAGAGACGATAACCATTCTGAACTAATCATAAAATAAAGACAATACAACAANAGAGTAGAATGAGCGAACCGTCACCATCAGCTGGCAATAAAGGTCCACAAACTGCGGCTGTTTTGGAAGCTGACGGCATACCACAGCATTCCGGCGTTCGTTTCCTACCACCTTGCAACGTCTCTTCATGAAGTCGTGTTCTGCAATAATTTGTTTGAGGGAGTATTGAATTTATTATGTGCATATTTTATATGCTTAGAGAAGTTTATCAACAGTAACAATGATGGCGAAAATAAATATCGAATTCGATGAATTTTATGACTACGAACGTGAAAAAAAAACAAACCGATGCCACTTTAACGATTCCGGTAACACCTTCGGTAAGCTCAGTATAGGAAAAACAGCAATCAGAGCCAACAAGCAGGCAATCTGAAATCCAATCCACCAAGCACCGACCCATTTTGGATCAGATTCATCGATGTTTACTATTCTAAAATTTTGGTTTTATTTTCAGCACTTAACCTATTAACAGACTTTGTTCCTCAGCATGCATTCGTCCATTTTTCAAATGAACAATTTTGAGATTGGAAATGGAATTAAGAGTTGAATTTAAC